ACAAAGCTCTCCAGCCAAGACAATCGCAAAGCAAAGTTCTGCTGTTCCGCTTGCAAAGGAGACAAAGTAGAGCCACCTCCAGAGGACCCATCTTATAAGTCCCGAATTCATGTACTCGATGCTGAAGGACCGTATGTGAGCGGTTGCCCTGCCATCGCAGGAAAGTATGCGAAAGACCTGAAACCATCGCTCTTCCTGGAGCCCCAACGCCCTCGTAAAATATGAGGGTAGGGACAGGCACAGAGCCCATGCACTCTTCCCCTTTGTCTTGGAGCGGGAGGAAGAGCGTGTTGAAGCTACATGTTTAAAAAGCAACGCGGGCCTCTAGAGAGCATACAAAGAAGACATGTATTAGAGTGGAGTGGCCGGGCCTTCCCTGTCCACGAACTCACTCCGCTTGCAACGGACCACCCGAAGGGTCCATCACTACCGTCGCGGGAGTCGTAGCAGCAGGAAAGCGGCACTCACACGTGACAAGGCTCATCTATAATAAAGCGAGGCCAAGCAAAGCGAAAAGCTGAAAAGAAATGCAAAGCTGAAGCTAATGAAGCTATGCAAAGCTGAAGCTATGCATATGCGAAAGCTAAGCGGCTTGGCTTGACTGAAGCTAATGAAGCTATGCAAAGCTGAAGCTATGCATATGCGAAAGCTAAGCGGCTTGGCTGTTGTTTGGGCCGAGCAAGAAGCATTGTCTTTGCAACGAAAGTAAAACAACAGTGAGTAAACACACCAACCAGGGCTGCATGGCTGTGCGTTGCCCGCTTTTTGGCTGCTTCACGGAATGACTGCGCGGCTGCTTGTTGCCTGCTTGGATGCTACTGGGTTGCTTCTTGGTTGAGTCACGACGTGGCTGCATGGCTGCTTGTTGGCTGCTTGTTGGCTGCTTATTGGCTGCTGCTTGGCTTCTTGGCTGCATCGTGGAATGGCTGCCTGTTGCTTGCTTGCTAGCTGATTTTAGGCTGCTTCATGGAATGGCTGCATGGCCGCTTGTTGCCTGCACACTAGCTGCTTCTTGGCTGCTTCATGGAATGGGCCGCTTGTTGGCTGCTTGTTGGCTGTTTGTGGAATGGCGGCATGGCTGCTTGTTGACTGCTTGTTGGCGGCTTTTGGCTGGCTTGTTTCTTGGCTGCTTGTTGTCTGTTTGTTGGCTGCTTGCTGGCAGTTGTTTTGCTTGCTTCTTGAGGCTGCTTCTTTGCTTCCCGGCTGCTTCGTGGAATGGCTGCATGGCTGCTGGTTGGATACATGTTGGTTGCAAGGCTGCTTGTTGGATTCTTTTTTGACTGTTTCATGATTGCTGGTTGGCTGCTTTGGGTCTGCTTGATGGAATGGCTGCATAGCTGCTTGTTGATTGCTTCTTGGCTGCTTCTTGTTTGCTTCATGATATGATTCCACGGCTGCTTCTAGCTTGCTTGTTAGCTGATTCATGGAAGGCTGCGTGGCTGCTTGTTGCCAGTGGCTGCTTGTTGCCTGCTTGGCTGCTGCTGGGTTGCGTTTTTGGTTGAGTCGTGGCATGGCTGCATGGATGCTTGTTGCTTGCTTGCTAGCTGCTTCTTAGCTACTTCCATTAATGGCTGCCAAGCTGCTTGTTGGTTGCTTCTTGGCGGTTGCTTCTTGGCGGCTTTACGGCTGTTTCTTGACTGCTTGTTGGTCGCTTCTTGGCGGCTTCCTGGGATGGTTGCATGGCTGCTTGTTGGCTGCTTTATGGAATGGTTTCATGGCTGCTTTTGACTGCTTGTTGGTCGCTTCTCGGCTGCCTCCTGGGATGGTTGCATGGCTGCTTGTCGGCTGCTTTATGGAATGGATTCATGGCTGCTTTTGGCTGCTTCCTCGCTGTTTCTTGGCTGCATGGCTGCTTTGGCTGCTTGTTGGCCGCTCCTTGGCTATTTCATGGAATGGCCGCACGGTTGCCTGTTGGCTTCTTCATCGCTCCTTGGCTGCTTAACGGCGTAGCGGCGTGGCTCCTTGTTGGCCGCTTCATGGAATGGCCGCGTGGCTATTTGTTGGCTGCTTGTCTGCTTTTTTTGGCTGATTCTTGGCTGCTTGACCGCTTCATGGAATGGCTGCATGGCTGCTTGTTGGCTGCTTCCTGGACTGGCTGCGTGGATGCTTGTTGGCTGCTTTATGAAATGATGGCCGGGCTGCTTCTTGATTTTTGCTGCATGACTCCTGCTTGACTGCTTGTTGGCTGCTTCTTGACTGCTTCGCGACAGCCTGTTGGCTGCATTTTCCCCTTTGCCTGTGCCTGCGGCCGTGCCATTTTGGTATTCATGCCTGTGCGTTTTCAGGAAGGCCTGCACCCTCCCCAACACCTCCCACACGGGCCACACAATCCAAGGCACCCACGACCCACAACCACTGAAGTTTCAGCAAACAAACTGCGACTGGCACACGTACTTTCGCAACCAGAAATCGGTCACTCAAGGCGACGACCGGGCAACTGCCGTCACGGCGTAGCCATACATACAAGTTACAGGGATGTTGTTTTCCTCTCCCACCCTGCCAAAGCTGTGAAACCGTACTCAGAAAAAGTGGTGGGTTCAAATCACCTTGCCTTTGAAGAAAGGAATTCGACCGTGCATCTTTGCGTTCATGATCTGGATTTCTTGCAGGAGACCGGGGTGACCGAACGTGCTGGGACGGTCCACGCTTCACAAAAACCGTGCCAAACCATGCCACACCTCGATACCATGTGTGACATCATGGCAGTGCAGGTGGGCTTCGGCGAAGGCGACACAATGGGGTTACCATTAGGGCACCCGAAATCAGTAGGATGGCATCCTACAACTCCTACCATCACGTCTGCAACATTGTAGGTCGCTTGGCACCTGACCCTGCGGTCTGTTCGACGATTGCAGGTGCGGACACGGTGAGCACTGGTTCAGTGGGCGTCTGCATGCGATTGGTTTGCTTGGTTTTCGTCTGTGTTCTCCCTTTTTCACACGAGTCTTGGATGAGCTGCCAAAAGGATTCCGGGACCAGAAGGCCAAAGGCTCAACTACTCAACTGCACACCATTTCCCAGTGCAGGCCGTCTACAATTTCACACAGAAGTAAACTGTGTAGCACATTGGGCTTGCATCATGATCCTGCACGGCTCTCGTGCACCTGTTCGATTGCAGGTAGAGAATTGTGCAAACTATCGTCCCGTCATTTCAGATAGCGGCATATATACTTCTAGGAGCTTCAAGTGCCCAGGCAGAAACAAAAGCCCGGCCATCTACACAAGAATGCACAAACCCTTTAAACAGCAAAGTACCATATGGGTTTGGGGAATTGGAGTGCACAGCTACAATGAAACATGAAGGCGCCTTCGCATGAAAGGGATGGGAACTCAAGGTTTAAAATATTTCTACAACCCGTCTTGGCATTGGCTTCGAGCTCGCGAAGCAAATCTCCATGGACCTAGCTGCTACTCCTCAGCCCGTCATCTTGTCAACGCGAACATGGGAGACTCAATACCTAGTCTTATTCTTGCTGGGCCGAATCGTGGGGCATCTCTCATGGTGAAAGCAACCTCCACTGGAGGCTTCGCGGTGAAGCGCCGACCTCCTAAGTCTGAACTCCCTTCGTACCCTTGATGACATGCTGCATTGAACCGCTGAACCCAAAGTGAAAAGTCAGCACATGATTTCCGAGGTCAGCTATGGTGACACGTCCTCGCACCCAAAGTAGTGGCAAAGGACATTCAGTCCACACTTGTTGTATGAACCTTGCGGGGTTCTGTCTGTCCACGCAGTTGGTTTGTTGACGCACTCAAACACTTAAAAGCCCTTTTAGTAGACGCTTAACAGCAGAACTCGAGCCCCCCAGATCTAGCGAATTATGGGGCAGCTTATATCGGAGCCATTTCGACTCCGCTCCGCGGGTCTGACCGAATCTGAAGGCTGTACCTTACGCTAAAGGCCCGATAGCCTACATGGTTTAAGACATTTCTCCTTCAGGATTCAACGCAGAGCGGTAAGTCAAAACTCCCAAAAGTGTAGTAGGTTGCCTGGGTTTCAAATAGCTCTCCTCTGGCAATGAGCTACGGATCAGCACGTATCTGCTTGAAACCCATGGAATAATCGCATGTCTACGGCTTTAGATTTATGAGGGTTTGGGGCTTATCATGTTAAGTAAGCCAGTTTCTTGAGGGCGGGAAGAAGCAGCTCTGTACTACCTATACTTCTGAGACAGTCTCGGCCGCTGCCTGAGGCGCTTCAAGGCGGTGTGGCTTTGTAAATCCAGGCTGTATAATCGGAGGGGTAAAAGTTAGGATCATACCCCCCCACGTACACAGCATTCGGCTCACTGCGGAAAGGGGAAATCGCGAAGCAACGCACAGCTGTCAGCGATTGGCTCACTCCGCCACGCCCCCCGACCTGGGGAAACTCCCGAACCAAATAAGCACGGGCAAAAAAAGAAAGAAGCTAATTACTAACGTTATAAAGTTGCCACGCGCATCTAGAACCCTTCTTCAACAGCTGATGCTTGGGTGTATTTTTGGACCCCCGACCTGCGTGACGAAGTAGTCGCTGGAGCTGACACGGCAAACGATGCCGCCCCCAGACCAATAACCATACCCATCTTCGCCCTGCTGCCCAGGGTCCAGGGGCACTTTGGCATTTGGATGTGCATGAATCTCGAAACCAATGAGGTTGCAGGGGAGGCTCCCCAATGTTGTGGCCGGCATGTTGTTGTACGCGGCCAGGGTGTAGCCCAACCAGGATGTCTGCAAATACTCCTTCACCAGGGCAGTGACTGACGCCTCTTCTTCAGGAGCTTTCGCTGATCCATCCGGGTGGAAGTCAACGCAGAGCACCCGAGCCTCTGCGTGAGTGTTCGGGCACCAAACGAACAATAATGATTCGTTCGATGACCCGGAAGGACCTGGAATCACCGTCATGCCGCGAAGACCCCCAACATCCGAATTGAGCTTGCCGTCTCCGCGACGAAAGTCAGCCACGTCAATGAGGACCTTCCAAACCTAAGCTAGGTTCAGTGGACAACGCCAAAAAAATGCTTAGACTTCAATTCTTCTTAAGGAGCCCCCAACAAGCAACATGCCACCTGGCACTACAAAGGAGCTTCAATAACTGTTATAACTGTTTTAACTGGGGTATTCCCTCCTTAAAGGAAAGCCAGTTATTTAGCAGTTATTGAAGCTCCTTAGTAAGGCATCTACTGGCTCGGGCCCGTCGATGCGCTGCAAGACCCGAGATGCACTCGACATGAAGGCAAATCCGTTTGCCTCGACCAAGGCCAGGGGACGGAATTCCAATTGCTTCCTCGGGGGCCGCGACAGCAGACCTCACCCCAACCCTTCCCACAACTCACCCCAACCCTTCCCACAACTCACCCCAACCCTTCCCACAACTCACCCGCATTCCCCATGACCCCTGAAAACTCTTGAGGTTCGGCTGGTCTGGCTAGGCTCGCTCCGTTAAGGTCCAACTTCTCCGGCGCTGAGTCCCACACAATCTTGCCGGGGACGGTGCTCGCTGGGTCGTAGGCCCCCGAAAACCTGGTCCATGGTAAAGGAGCCTCTAACAATAACAATAAAGAAGCCTCTAACAATAAGAAGGCACGTCGGTTTAGGGCTACGTATAGGGTAAAAACAAAAAATGACTCAAGAAGGACCAAACAAGCAGGAGGGCAAACAAAGACGCAGCGAATGACAAATAGTTTCGAAGGGCTAAGAAAAAGTGGAAAAATAGAAAAATTGGAAAATACAAAAAGTGGAAGAAAAAAGGGTGAGAAAACAAAACACACACACACACTTTTTTGATGGCAAAGACACACTCCACGGAGTCCCTCGAAGGCGATGATGCGGTCGACGCCGGTCACCGCATCTCGGTGGAGCACCACCTAAGCGCAGATCCTTTTTCTTTTGTTTTGAAAAAATTTTTACGAATCTTATATCATAAAATAATAGACTATAGCAAGTCAAATCGAGGACACTACAAACAACACCATAACGCATAAACCCCGCAGGTGAAGCACCTTTGAGCGTAGGCACAGCTCGACAACCAGGGCTTTTTCCGGGGTACTCCTTCCCAGTGTAACAGACCTGGGGTCCCCCCATGTGCCATGGGAAAGGGGCGCAGAATTCAGCGTGCAGGATTGGCTAGTCGTGGTCAATATGGAACACACTCCCCGAAAGGATACAAAGGTTGCCAAATCGGACTTCCCCCACCTCGTGCCACCGATACTGGGTTCCAGGGGCAGTGTCATCGCCGTCGTCTCGGAACAACATGAAGTTACCCCATTCGTTGCTCATACTTGTACCTAAGGGGCTGGATTGACCTTTGGCCGTTTTTATTAAAGGACAAACAAACGTCCAAGGTCACCTTACAAGTCTTGGAGGGGCTTGGGGGTGAAATGAGCTTATGCCTCATCTACTCAACATCCAAGCCAGGGAATAGTTTGATTTTACACCAGCACTGTCTGAGTTAAAAAGCTCTGCTCAACGCAAACAGAGGTGTTTTCTTGAAACCGAGCTTTACGTGGGTTCGTAGTTGAAGGTTGCCTGGGCAGCAGCTAAGTGGCAGATCGTGAGCTGCCGCACTGGTGGTTTCAGCTGCTTGCCATGGCAGTCCCAATTGAACTCCACACTCTTCAAGCAGTCCTGTTTGGGCCAGAAGTCAAGGCTTAGTATTTAGACTTAGGTGGGTTTTGTTTCTTGGTTGCTGGGTTTGGAGTTTCGGCTTTGAGGCTCAAGGGTGAGTGCAAAACCTTGAATGGAAACAAGTTCGTCCAAATTCAGCAACAAGATGCGATCCGAATCGCCCACCGCGACCGCTGGGGGGGCCTCTCGACGTGGCCATCGCCACACCAGTCCACGACCCACTTGCCACCTAAACAGATCGTCGTCATACACAGTTTGTTTCTTTAATATGAATGTAAGGTCTCAACCTGACGGTCGGAGATGTGTAAGGCCGCCCGACTTAAACCAAACTAAGCGTGCCTCTGCCCCCCATGCACCTGGGAGCTTCGGCAAACAGGCAACATCCCCCGCAATGATTAGCTCTCAAGAAGATGCAGTCAGTCGGGACTCCCAAAGACCGATCAGCACCATGCAACAAGAAGGTTTCAGCAATGATCCCTTTACGGTTCATGTCGCTACAGAAGAACGGCCCACCTGGGGAAGCCAGCCTGGCCACGAAGCTTCTGAAGGGCTTCCCCTTGGCAATGGTGGTGTTCTTAAACGTGCCGAAGGAGGCAAAGAGTTCGCCGTTGTGTGGCTCGATGTGCATCGTCTCTGTGGCATTCCACTCGTTGTCCTCCATACCTGTAGCATTCTTCCCAAAGAGGAGTGATGGCTCCCACTTGAGCGGAAGACGCTCCTTGGCAGGTTCCCGAGTTCCTTTCGGCGCGATTGGTGGGAGCTTTGTGCCTCCACTCTTCTCGTTTTGGGCGTGCAGCTCCTTCACATGTACTTCTTCTAACACAAGGCCCTCGTAAATGCGCAATTTCTGGACTTCCATGCAGCCCTCGTCCTGCAAAATGCTCAATGGACAGTTCTCGATCTGCATGATGGGCGCGTCTGGGTCGCTACCACCGCCAGTGCCTGCTTTGCTTGCGATTAACTGACCATTTTTCCACATTTTTCCACCACCATTCCCGTCAAACGTCAAGACAATGTGCACCTTGTCACCGTCCTTGATCTCACCAGCAGCGACGCCGAACTTCCGGCCACTGACAAAGAAGCAAAGGCTGCCCCATTTCACGTCTCCTTTCGGACCACCATTGGTAAACAGCGAAACTGCATCCCCGATGCGGAGAATTCGACTCCATTGCTTACCCAGCCTGAGATTGCGAACCAAGAAGGACACTTCGAAGGAAGCAGGCCATCGTGTTGACATAGTTTTGTTGAGGACCTGGTGTTTTGAAGGAAACGGCTCCTGGAAGACCCATTCCTTGGTAGGCTGTGGGATGTCCCCGTCCCCGGACGTTTTGGCGCCGGCGACGTCCATGCCGATAGGCAGGTGACGGACATTCAAACAGTTGGCCGCCCGCCCTACCCAAGAGCAGAAAAGAGCAGCAAAACGGACTGTAGGGTTGTTTGGAGGCCTCGTGCAAGAGGTCGTTACGACGTCTTACGATTGCTGGTGTCATGTTTTCCTTGGAAACTTTGAAGCTTTCATCGCAGGGGGTACATCCAAGATTCGCAACGTGGGGCGCGCAAGCGTAACAGACCACAGAGCCCCAACTCGTGAAACTGTGGAGAAACTTTCATCGGCCCCTATAAGGTCACCGACCCGATCCAAAACCCTGTCACTAATCGGGCATCCAGAACACCTGTGCCCTGTGCTGCTGCGCCGCGACACCTCCTCCGTCCATTGGGATCGGGAAAAGTCTGACCACAAGGAACCCTGCCTTGGAAATGAACCCAGGGGTTTTGCGAACCTTTAAGATCTTCCAGGCACTCCTTGATCTGACTCCCCCTATGGGCTTCAGACGCAACTGCCCGGACGGACAGAGAGGACTGGCATGCGCCTGCCGGTGACGGCGTCTTCCATGCTCTTCGATGGGCCTTCTTGCGGCTTCGGCAAGTCCTACAATTGCCTGAATTTTGCCAACCATCTTCGCCGAAGAGTTCTCGAAATTCCCTTGCCACCCTCTGTTCTGGAGCCGCTCTGGGTGATTACGGCCGTTTTTCCGGGTCAAGCAACCTCCACCTTGAAGGCGGTCGACTCTTGTCAAATCTTTTGTGGCCACCTTGGCAGACGCGGTTATTTGTCCCAGGAGGCCTGTGGAGCTGTTTACGACTGGATTTCGACGCAGTGGCATGACTTCGCGTGCATCTTTGTACAACACTCAAACATACTGAAGCTATCGCGTTTATTTATGAGTACCTTTGAGAAACGCTCGCATGCCGTTCAAAGGCTGGAGCTTGCATGTGAGACACCTGTTCCAATTTGGATCAAGAGTTGAAGCGAAAACAAAACAACGCACAAACGCTTTGGAAGTCGCGGGCTCTCAAAGGCACTGGGCCAAAACCGTGATGAGACCTGGGCCTGAGAGGGCTTTATGCGGAAGTAAGTTTTTTGGCACAAATGTGCTGCACAAAATTGCAATGCATCAATGCATTAACTAGTTTGGGAGCAAAGTGTACCAAACGCATTGTTCTCTGCTGAACCTGGGGGGGTGGGGCACTCGGAGGATCTTTATGATTTTCAAATCCATGTTGCTTTCAGCGATTGTTGTTGACATGTCTGCTTGCACTGGATGCCCTTTCAGTTGCACATGTCAATGTCCGAGACCTAGCCACCGGCCCTCCAACTCAGAGCGTCCTCTGTCTGACATCTGACATCAACTGAAAGGAGAGAGAACGAGGGAGCGAAGAACTCAGAGTCTACACATGAACGGAATGACCTCCGCGTCACCAGCCTCTTCATTTGCGTCTGTAGTGACGATTCCTCCGACTCTCTCTGGGGAGGGTGTTGTCAGCTCCCACTCTGTGATAGCTACAGGCCTTGTTTCCAGACATAGGTCAGAATTCGTTACTTTTGGGCACTGACGATCTGCGGGCCTACGGCCCGCTGCTCCCAC